GCCCACCGTTCCGCCTCTGTCCATTTTCAACGAAACAAATATTACTGGGGTCAGGGACTTGTTTTCCCACTCTTGGGCGTTTTCTATGCTCATCTCTCACTTGTTTTTGCAGTTCCAGGAAACTTGGGCAACCGTCTGGAAGCGAAGATAGACAAGCCACAGCTGGTGCACTGGATGTGCTACAAGAAAACAGATCACTGGTTCCCCTTGTGGATTGACCTCAACATGTTCATGCCTATTGGTGTCGACTGCTGGATCGATAACATTAGGTAACGCTGACTAATATGCGTTTCATCTATGCCCTGCTCACAGACATGGAAAATATTGTTGATCAGAAACTTGGACTCATGTCACGAGATCAATAATATACAGTTGGAACATACTGTATTTGATGATGCTGTTTTAATCCTGACTATTATATTGGATTGGAAGACTTGTGACATTTTCCCCACGCGATTTATATTGTTGGAGTCAAATTAGTGTGTGCTTTAAATTGTCTAAAACAAATGTCTGTGTTCAGACTTGTTTACAACAGGACGGCAAGACGGTCATTCAACTCGCCAGGGGTGCAGGTGCGGGTGCCAGGGTTCGGACAAACCTATCCCATTGAGTTCCTTGACAAGAACAAATTGACTGGTGAGATACAGGACATACATTTGTTGATCAAATTCTGGATATTTATCATGATTATGGTGGAAAAACATACCAGTTCAGAACGTCAGTAATACATTTGTACAACAAACCCTGATATCTAGATTGAAGTTCTAGGTGATTGTGTGCATTTTCTTGAGGTGAATTGTAGTAAACCAAGTTTGCTCTTCATTTTGCAGGTTATTTTCACACTATGGTGCAGCATTTAGTCAACATTGGCTACACTCGTAATGAGACTGTCCGCGGAGCACCGTATGATTGGAGATTAACTCCTAGTAAGTGGTTCAAAACAACTACACTACGCTGTATCGAGTGCATGTGAGATATGAGAAGATTGTCATGAAGAGAATAGGGATATTTGATACTCTTTTTTTCTTGATTCTTTTCTTTGAAAGTGGGCTATTTGTTTTTCCGTAATAATATCCGGAGAGTAAGAAAACACAATTTGATCAAATCTTTATCTACTGTTCATCATCCATGGACACGTAATATATTCCAGGTCATTTAAATGTATTAATAGCCCGTGGGACATTAATAAATAGATGAGAGATCCTTAAATCAGTGTTTCAGAGAAAAGGGAAAGTGTCTTTTTGCAGATGCATTTCTCATGCCCGTGTCAAGGGACACCTTTTGTATGGCTTCTGTTCATTATGTTTCGTTTGTATGCTCATTCTTATGTTGTTTTACGCTCTCACTGGTTCAAGATAGACTAACAGTTGCATGTTTCTGTAAGAACTTTCAAACTACCCTGTTAACACTGACCCCACTGTCTCCCCGAAATGTGGCATTTACAATTTCACGAATCTCAGTTTCCACTAGGGCCAGGCAGGCCGATTATCGGTGCCAATATTTGCCATTCAGATGGCATCGGCGCTGAAAAAAAAAACATATCGGTCTACATCTAGTTTCGACCATTTACCGTTATTTAACACATACGGGGGCGGCACGGCACGTTGGACGATGGCTTAGCACAGGGGTCGGCAACCCAAAATGTTGAAAGAGCCATATTGGACCAAAATAAACAAAAAACAAATAGGTCTGGAGCCGCAAAAAATAAAAAGCCTTATGATGAAGGCAACACATGCTGTATGTATCTATATGAGCTATATTAGCCTGCTATCAACATGACTAAATTGGCTACAAATACACAACGAGCATTCATGATTAAAAGATTTTTTTCCCCCTGCAGTTCATCCTGTAGAGGAGGGGTGCCCAAACTTTTTTGACGGAAGATCTACTTTTCGAACAACCAACCTCTCGCGATCGACCCGTTACCGCACACGAGCGCTTATACGAACACTTACACACGCATTCCATCATGAGCATTAGCCATAACGGCCGCGAAGATGAACGAGACACGGGACGCACTTTCGCAGCGTGCTAACTATCGTAGCTCACGTGTACCGTTTAAAAATGCTTCTCTTGGCCGCTCAGATTCCCATTCTTAGCAAGTACCCTCGGTGAATTATACATGAAAGGCAGCTGTTTTAGTTAATTTTATTTTATTTTTTATCAACAGCCCCCTGACTGACATCCCGCCCTGCTGATAGAAACGTGTGTCGCAGGCTATGACGCAAATATTCATTTACGAAATTTTGACATTTAATATTTATTCGACACATTTTTACAGCATCGGAAAACGTTAATAATGTTTGTGTCATTTTTGTCCTCTGACAGAAACCATATTAAAACAAAAAATATATATTTCCCTCCCATCTTTTTCCATTTTCAACCATTTTTGGAAAAGCTCTAGGGAGCCACTGCGGGGGGCGAAAGAGGCGCATGTTGCCGACCCCTGGCTTAGCACGTACGCCTCACAGTGCAAAGATGCAAAGTTCGGCGTCTGGCTCCAGCCTTCCTATGTAGAGTTTTCATGTTCTTCCTGTGTCTGCGTGTTTTGTTTTTGTTTTTGGAGTACTCCGGTTTCCTCCCACATTCCTAAAACTGGCTGATTGAACACTCTAAATTGTCCCTAGGTGTGATTGTGAGCGCAGGTGGTTGTTCGTCTCTGTATGCCCTGCGATTGGCTGACAACCGGTTCAGGGTGTAGCCCGCCTACTGCCTGAAGACAGCTGAGATAGGCTCCAGCATGGAGCATGGAAAACACACACACACACACACACACACACACACACACACACACACTGTGATAAATCATGAACTCTGTAGGGATATATATTTTGCGTGTTTCTACGTCACATGTCAAAACAGGTCAAATTTAACCTAAACACTAACAAAAGAAAATTGTCAGACCTTTAACATAACCCACAACATTTGAAATGAGTCCGTTTATTAGTAACCGAGTGTTTCTGTCGAGAACAGGAATCGCTGTGACAGTGATGTCCTTTCCCTGCCCCCCGACAGACGAGAATGCAGAGTATCTCATGAAGTTGCAGGAGTTGGTGGAGCAGATGTACGAGCAGTACCAGCAGCCTGTTTATTTGCTGGGACACAGCATGGGCTGCCACTACGTCCTCTATTTTCTCAACCATCAGCCGCAGGAGTGGAAGGACAAGTACATTCGGGGCTTCATTTCCCTAGCGGCTCCATGGGGGGGCGCTGTTAAAGTACTGAGAGTCATGGCATCAGGTACTGTCTGGCATGGCCTCCTATGTGTTTCCCAGTCTTCATTCTGCCAATGTCATGCACACCACTAAAAAAAAGGTCACAGAAAGTGGATGCACAGGTAATTCAGTACTGTCTCCATTTGAATGATTTTTTTTTCCAGACCATTTAATTGAAATTGGACTTTTATTATGGCACACATGGTGATTCTTCACAGCACACGAAAGTGCTACTGTAGCACTTTTTTAGTAGCACTTTTTTAGGAGCACTTTTTTGCCACACCTGGATATTGGTTGTTTGGGAATCATTGGCATATGTTATAGTGAAATACAGGTTCTGTTTGAAAGACTCATTTCTTGATGGGTTTTGTTGTTGTTGTTGTTGTTTGTTTTTTAGGTGAAAATGATGGCATCACGATGATTTCCAACATCAAGATCCGAGAAGAGCAAAGGATGACTACGACAAATCCCTGGATGCTGCCAACAGAAAAGGTGTGGCCAAAGGACCATGTCTTCTTATCGACGCCAACTTTCAACTACACCAGTCAGGACTTTCAGCGCTTCTTCCAAGACATCAATTTTGAGGACGGCTGGTAAAGTCACACCATAATTATAAGTTACTTTTAGTTATTAGCTTTACCTCAGTTCAATTTAAGATGCTCTGTAGACCCAAATTAATTTCATCTTCATTTGTAGCATGAAATATTCCCATTTTAATTTGGTCATGCCTGACACATTCCTTCAAATTAGCAATTATGAAGCAAAAGTGATTATTTAATATTTGTTCTGTTTAGAATCTTGCCATTAACATTAAATAGGAGGTGTGCTTTTTAAAAAATCTTTGTATCTCTGGTTTTTACATAAAATAACATTGATATGGTAATAGCAAACCAAATATGTCAAACACGGTTCTATACAAACAGTAGAAGTTAGGTAAAAATAGAATCCACCACATGAGAGCTCACTGACATTTGGTTTGTTTTCAGGTACATGAGGGAAGACACGAAAAACCTGACTTCTGATCTCCGCCCACCTGGCGTTGAGGTGTGGTGTCTGTACGGCGTTGGACTACCTACTCCAGTCACGCATATTTATGACGAGGGGTTTCCCAACGCAGACCCCATAGACTTTGTTTACGACGATGGGGATGACACCGTGGGCAGCCGAAGCATGAGTCTTTGCAAAAATTGGGTGGGACAGCAGGATAAGCCTGTGCATGTTACGGAATACAGGGGTTTGCCACACCTGGATATTGTATTCAATGAAAAGGTGCTCAGTCAAATACAGCAAATCTTAGAGGGGAAGTCAGAGGTTCCCAAAGAAGTTGATCTCAGGTCTGGGTAGATATAACAAAACAGCATTTTGACGTTTTATGAAAAAGCACATGCAACAGGCCCGGGAATAGCAGCAATAACAAATTGTGTATGCCTGACCTCAAGTTGATAAAAATTATCCCAATTTCTAAACCATGTACTCTTCAGGTTTGATGGGGTTTTTTTTTCCAACATAACAATTTTGTTGTGCACAGAAACCTTTTGTCTGTTATTTTAGTGGTTATTGTTGAATTGTGATTTGCTTTTAATAAATCAATCTGCTAGTTGTTGTTGTAGTAGTAAATCAAAGTCTGAAACAAGCACCCATCCAGTTTTTGTTTTATTGTGCCGCACCAATACATCCATCCACTGTAAAGCCAACATTTTGTCATTGTGTGTGTACTTAATGAAAGGCGGGGTTTGCGCTTGACACGCACTTTTCCCCCGTTTGACCTATCGGAGCTCGTCTACTTCGGCCTGGACTGAAGTTGCGTTACCACGCTAGATTGCTCTGCGTTCTGCTTTGAACCTCGCGATCGCGTCATCATCGTCGTTGCACGCAAACAGCGTCAACTATTAAAGGTGCGACAAATGAAACTGGAGAAGTTAGTCGGTCGGATAGCATCTTAGGAACAAAGCTAAATGGCTTTTTGGCTATGAGAGATCGGAAGTCATGGGGGGTCGACACCGGGTGACCGCCTTCTCGCTTCTCACATTCGTGTTGTTGTTGTGGCTGTTTTCTGGACGGAGCTGCGGCCAACCTGTACGAAAATGTGCTGGCAACAAGCTATGCCAGTCCCCGAGACCTCCAGTGGTCCTCGGTAAGTGTTTACTGTACTTCCCTGTTTCTGCCTTCGCTTTACATTGGTTTTGGTAAATGTCAACACTTGACGAACGACGTGAGATGGGAAAGACTTGGGAGCCGACAGAGGACCGACTTCAATTCGGAGAAATTTCATTTGTTTCATCTCTGTAAACTGTCAACATTTTGTGATTACGCAAGCACGAACAAATCAATTTTGGTGAATAAAATAAAGGTTCAAGTAAACTAACTTTAAACGGGCACCGCGACTGGATCGTTGTTAGGACAGTGTGCGTTTGAAATTATTTTTGCGCTACATACAACTGTGTCGCTTTACTGTGACGCGAATCCAGTCGTTCTCTTAACCTCTTAACTCCACATTACATCGACGGATTAGTTTTAAAAATTGAGGTTACTTTATACCATTACGAATTTTCTAAGTGTTAAATGTACACTGTGACATCGTGTGCAATTGTTTTCTCCGTCTGCAAACGATTGTTTACAATCCTATCACGAGACTGATTTGATGCAGCCAATCAGATTCCTGAGGAACATTTAAACCAATCCCTTCATTTATCTGCACAATGCATCACGTGATTCTTTTCACTCAGACCACTGCAGGGTGATACAGTCAATCCTGTTTAAACGCCATTACCATTCTATTCTCCTTGTCCCCCCGCCCGCTTGATTAAATGTGGTAGAGTTTGTGGAAACCTTATCTGAGCAGTGCGTACTTACTCTGTTGACATGGGGTCAGCATAATAGTTTGTGCGGCTGCTACGAACAGTGTGACAAGAACTACTGTAATATGGCTGGATTAGTGTTGGAATATTTCTGCATACTTTCTCCCATTGTTCTTTTTTTCCACACAAACCACCCTTTCTCCTTGATTAGGAAGAAATGGTTGTGACAGAGTCACAAATTTTTAACTTACAGTTGAAAAATAAAAATCAATGTGGGTGCAAAATCACCACGTGGACTCAAGGACATCGATGGTGAAATGTCAATGTGAACTCTGAAAACGATCTATAGATGAAGACATCCAAACAACACGTTGTGCGGTAAAAATAGCAGCTAGACAATTCTTTTGAGCACCACTCATAACTGTACACCAATGCAATCAATCTATCTAGATAGATGTGTGTGTGTGTGTGTGTGTGTGTGT